CCTCCGGAAGAACCCGCCATTGGCTTAGACACCCCTCCACGAGGACGCCTTCCGTGCCCTCAAGAAGGCGGTGACATGTGCACCGGTTCTTCACCTACCCGATTTTGATCGCCCCTTTATCCTTACCATTGATGCGTCAGACTTTGCTGTAGCTTTCTCAGATTTTCCCCTCCTCTCCTTATTCCTCTCATTGTCGTATCCCTCGCTTCCCACCGCCTACCCTTACCACTGCCTCCCGCCTTACGCCCACTCGTCCAGCTATTGACGAGCCTTCTATTAACTATTCTCCTACCATCGCTGAGGACGGCACTGTCGAGTCTCGCTCAGGTGATTGTCCGATAGCCTTCTACTCTCGTCAGCTCTTGCCCGCCAAGATAAACTACACCGCTGATGAACGTGAGGTTCTCGCAGTAGTTTATGCTGCTCGGCATTGGCGTCACTACCTGCATGGGGCACCATTCACGGTGCGTACGGACAACTCTGTTGTCCAGGCTTTTCTGACAAAACCGAAGCTCACTCCTCGACAGGCTCGCTGGTGGCGCGACCTATCCATGCGACCCTTCAGAGTGGCAAGACCGTTCCAAACTACTCTCTCGGGGACAACGGTCTTGTGTACTGGCACAGTTCACAGGGCACCAGAGAGCCCCATATTTGCGTTCCCTCCACTGGACAGTTACGTGTCCGGGGAGTAGCAGAGTTCCATGACCAGGCAGCCGCCGGTCATATGGGCTTCCACAAGACGTTGGCTCGTGTGAGCCGCCTGTACGTTTAGCCGAAGCGCAAGGGCTTTGTGAAGGACTACGTCGCAGAGTGTCCCACCTGTCAGGAGGTGAACAGTGTGAACCACCTGCCTTATGGTTTGCTCCAACCTCTTCCTATTCCTGAGGGTCGTTGGTAGTCCATCTCGATGGACTTTATCGGTCCTCTTCGTCCTCCGACCCCCGCGGTCATGATGCTATCCTGGTCGTCGTCGACCACTTCACGAAGTGTGCACGCTTTGTTCCGTGCCGTTATGCCATCAGTGCACGTGAGGTCGCCGACATCGTGTTTGACCGAGTCGTGCGTGACCATGGCTTACCTTTGAGCATCATATCTGACTGTGACCCGCGCTTTACAAGCCGATTCTGGCGACGACTCCACGAGGTGTACGGCACCCAGCTCCGCTTCTCCTCGTCTTACCATCCCTAGACTGAGGGTCAGACTGAGATCACGAACAAGACTCTCGGAGATATTCTCCAAAAGATTGCTCATGACGACCAGCAATGGGATCTCCATCTTGCCCACGCGGAGATAGCCTACAACCACGCCGTCTCGCTAGCCACGGGGATGTCGCCTTACTATTGTGACCTCGGCTATCACCCTCGTGTGCCCGCGGACTTCCTTCGACCGTCACAGATGCACCCCCACACGAGTTGTCCCATGCTGGATGATTGGGTTGCACACATGACGTCGATCATGAAGACCGCGTATGAGCACATAGCCGCTTCCCAGACTCGCATGGTAGCACGTGCGAACCGATCGAGGATGGATCATCCATTCAAAGTCGGTGATGATGTGCTTATCGACGCCCGCCACTTACAGCTCGAAGCTAACACGCTTCACAAGTTTCGGTGTCGCTTCTTTGGCCCATGCCGCATTCTCCAGGCCATCAGTTCGGATACGACTTCTAGCCCGATCAGCTTCCGTGTGAAGCTGCCCGACGACCTACGCCAAGCTCGTGTGCACGATGTCTACCACGTCTCGTTACTGCGTCCCTACCACAGACCGTCTGAGTGTTTCGCTGGACGACCATACAAGCGCCCTCCACCCTTCATGGTGGACGGCCACGAGGAGTTCCTCGTTTCAGACATCATTGGTGGTCGAGTCATCCACGACAACCCTCCCCACGTCGAGTATCTCGTATGTTGGAAGGGTTACCCTGATGAGGAGGCTACTTGGAAGCCCCTCGAGCACTTGCAGCACGCTCACATGTTGGTGCGTGCCTATGACCGCGCTCGTCGTGCTGGGTTGAATGCTCCTCCTCCCGCTGAAGTCGAGCCTGCTCCATCTGAGGCAGGCCTTCAGCAGCATCTGGATGCTTCTGAGCGTCCACAGCGCACTCGTCGTCGTCCTGCTCGATGCGACGATCGACTCTGACTTCTTAGTACTCCATCCACTCCAGTTTTGCCACTTCAACTCGTCGACGTTGCGGCTCTTCCTCGACGGTATTTCAGACTTCTCATCATGGACGTCATCGGCAGCTTCATGGACTTCATCACGATCAGCTCTGCCTACTTCAGACGTCGTCACTCTCTTACCACCTTACCCTGTACAGTACCCTGGTTGTGTCGCATGATGGTCTCCCTTCGCCGGGTTCCTCTGAGTTGGGCTTTCCCTTGGTATACGCATAGGCATCGGGACCGTAGCGTTGCCCTGGCTTCCCAGCTTACGGATCCAGCTCCGACTTCCCCCACCTTAGGAGTCATTTGCATGATTCCCTTACCCATCATTTTTTCTACCCTCTGCCGGCCCTCACGCCCTAGTTAGGCAGCCTCGCATGCTTCATCTAGGTGTGCCGAGTATACCAGGCTCCTTTGTTCCCTTGCATGGTCGACCCTCCATAGCGGTCACCCCTTTAGTCGAGCATTACCCGCCCTGATGGTCTATCTGTTAGGGTCCTTGGTTTTGTTCGCTCCCTGTTCCCTACCCTCATTGAGCCTGATGACATGTGCCTCCCTGTCATTTTGTGTGGATGCCCTTAGGAGTTATCGACCCTTAGGCTGCATTCGCCACCCTCAGAGACCATCCCACCTTTTGGTTTGCGACACACCCCTCCTGTGACATATGGTTGTCTTGTTGTTGCTTTGTTGCTCTCAGACTGAGGCTACTGCCTCTGACATTTCTAGGATTTAGTTGTTCTGCTTTTGCTGTTCTTAGGACTTAGACACTAGTCAGTTGTTTCCAGACTGAGGCTACTGCCTCCAACATTCTAGGATCTAGTTGTCATTACTTTCTGCTTTCCTAGGACATGTATGCTAGTTAGTTGCTTCTGCTTTCACTTAGGTTGTTAGCTGTGACATTGCTGTTTTTGTGACATTTTCCATCCTAGGTTGCATCGCATGGACTCAGCATGGAGCTTGCTCCGCATCCTAGACTACTCAGGTCTTCTTTTTCTTTGGTAGAGTTCCGCTTCTTGGCGGAAGCGTGCTTGTATCTAGGTCATCCATCACAGGCCGAGGATCGTGTAGCGGACCTCTGGTTGGCCTGTGAGACCAGCCCCTTGGCCTGTTCTCAAAGGCCTGAGTTGTATTCGGGGTAGTCCTGTCCAAGCCGGTACCTCTGTCGGTACCAGCCAGTCCCGTCCAGTCTAGTCAGTCCGCTGGGGTATCCCCCAGCTGTTGTCTGTTTTCCAGATCATTCTACATTCGCACATTTTGGAGTACGTGCGTTGGAGTCTAGCGTGGGAGCTGCGTTGTGCCATCTCGTTCCCCCTTCTTCCTCCATCTCCATCTGTATCCCAGGCGGAGCACCACACCTAGTGGGTCCGCCACACACACACACACACACTCTATATATATTTCCATGTTCTAGCAGAAGATTTGTTCGATTTTGCTCATCCTATCGATGGAAGTAGCGTGAGGCCAGCCGCCGGGTTGGAGAGTTACCTGTTGGCCGGTGCGTTGCCGTCATGGTAGCGACAGGGCCATTTGCTCCGCTCGATACCAGAATCCCTCCCTCCTCCTTCCTCCCTCTCTCTCCTCCTTCGTCGTCCATCTCTGCCTCTTCTCTCAGTTTTCGTTCGTTCATCTTTCCCTCCTCCCTCCATTTCTCTTGCCTCCTTTCTTCCTCCTTTCTCCATT